TGCCCTCAAATAGTCAAGATTCAGAGCTTTGAAGATAAACTTCCGCTCCCTCTCAAAATATTCTCTATTTTCTAGTGGCTAGTTTTGTCTGTAGGTCTTATGATAACTACTTCCTGTGATAAGAGAGATTAGCAATTTTTAGACAACCAACAACCAATTGCATTTTCTCTTTGATAATCAGAAGAACTTAAGTTATCCTAAAAAATAAGGGCTCTGGATAGAAAGTCATTACCTATTGTAAGCATTTTATTTTAGAATAAATGCTAACACAGTTTGTCTAGCCTAAACAGCTCTAAAGTCCCACTTGCTAGGAAGAACAAACATCATCCCTGTATTTTTTAAACCATTTATCTCTGGTCATTTAAGGTCCCAGCCAAAGTGATTATTCATCACTTTTCAGCACCCTTCCTGCATTTATGGCATGGGTCTCAGTGTGGTCTCTATAACATTACATTATATAGAAACAAGAAAATAAAAATTGAAACAGGTTTAACCTCTAAAGTCCAGATAAGTATTCAACCTATGACATTCAGTCCAATAGTGATTATTTTTCAAAAATTTTAAATATGTAATACTTGTCATTATAAAACAGCAATGTACTGAATTAATAAATGAGTCAATCAATCAATCATCTGATAATTAGCCAAGCAGTTCATGAAGTTAAGGCCTCCATTATCTGGAGCCAAGCTTTCCAACTTGGCTTAGCACCCTTCTCCCCTTGCTGACATTGATGTTTCTCCTTGGAATGTCTTCCATCACAATTTCTGTCAGTTGCAAGCCTCTCCATCCTTCAAGCTGCCTCTGAAAGTCAGTCTGGCACAATGACACAGGCTCAAGCTCTGACTTCAGACAAATTTAGTTTTATGTACCTGCTTAGTCACTTTCAAACTCTATGAATTTGAATGAGGTTTCTTAATAAACTTTGTAATCTATAAAATACAATTAATAATCATATTAACCTGATAGATTTATTTTGAAGATTAAAAGACATAATATATGAAAAATGTTTCTAACATTGTAGGTTTTCAATACATATTAGTTTAAGAACATATTGAATGGTATTTACTTTATGACACCATCCTTGAGTACCAGATCCCACAGCACAGTAAAGTAGTAGTCTCCAAACTTGTTTGTGTCTTAGAACAAAATGTAGGATTATGATCACCAGGATTGAGGATGGGTGGGACAGAGGGATTTATAATTTTTAAAGTTCTTTCCATATTCCAATGTACAGACAAATCTGGGAACTGTGACAATGTTTCCCAAATTTCTTGATAATGAAAATCAACTGGAATTTTTATTAAATAATGTTAAAAGCCTCTACCCCAGACCTAAGAATCTGAATCTCCAAGACAGAGACACATGAATGAGCATTTTTGATATATCGTAAGTTCCATGATCAGACAAGTTTGGAAACACACTATTGGTAGACTGTGTATACAGTTATGTGCCCCATAATGACATCTCAGTCAATAACAGACCTCATATAGGACAGATTATAATACTGTATTTTTACTGTACCTTTTCTATGTTTAGATATGTTTAGATACACACATACTTACCATTGTGTTACAGATGCCTACAGAATTCAGCACAGTAACATGCTGTACAGGTTTGTAGCCTAAGTGCAGTAGGTGGGATCATATAACCTAGGTGTGTAGTAGGTTATACCATCTAGGTTTGTGTGAGTACACTCTATGTTCAATTGACAATTAGATTGCCTAATGATGTTTCTCAGAACATGTCCTTGTTAAGCAACTGAGGACTGTACTTACTTCTACATCAGATTATCTTACTAATTTATAAACTCTTTTCAGTAGAGCACAGTGTTTCTTTCAATTCTATTATTTTCTATCACACAGGTTGTACATATTAGGCATGCAATAAATGTTCGAAGTTAAATTACGGAACATAAAAAATACAGTAAAGATTATAAATATATCTCCTAATTGAGACATTTATAATTTGTATAAAAGCATGGAGATGGAACGTCAATATCCAAATACAAACAGGTGTACATAATCTGACATCTCAAAAGTATTGTCATTAGTTTAAACTTTGCCACCACCGAACTTCAGGACCTTGGAAAGCCACTTAGCCTCTCTGGGCCTCAGTTACTTGTATGCCAAATGCTGTCCGTATGCACACAGATTAGATGAGTTTTGTATTTTTATTCATACTGAATGCCAAGCTAAGCCCACATTATATTAAGTATACATGAGGAGAAAGTGAAACTATATTTTCCTGCTTTAAAATGCTTCTCTGTTATTCTTCCTGGAAACAATCCCATCACTTTTCTGCAGCAAAACATTCATTCACATTTATGGGGCTTTTTAGTATCTGCAGATGAAATGTGCTCAGAGACCTGATGCCATTGCCCTTCCTACAGGGGTGGCAGCCTCTGCCACCACACTCTGCCATCCACTCACAATGTCTAAGCTTATTTTTATTCAGGGGCTTCTCTCTCACTGTCTGGTTTGTGAGTTATGTGTCTGCTTTCTGCTTCCTGCCAGAATGTTCACTCCTCACCACTCGATCATTTTTCATCAGTAGAGATACATAATCATTACACTCATTGGTAATCCTCCCTCCATACCAAATGAAAAACATTTATTTTTATTGTATTTAACTCTATTTCTTCTCACTTTTCAGTGAACCTGGCTTTAAGATTAAGATGATCATATTAAGACAACACATATAAGATGTTACTCTCTGGTCTTCCTACTTACATATTATAACAGAATCATCTCTGAAAAATATGTAAATATTAACTATTAACTTGATTTATTTTTCATAAATTATATGAAAAAATATAGATAATGAGAAGCACTTGATCACAATAAACTTATATAACTATCACAGCATACATATAAGGAACAATATATGTGCTAATAAGTACAATTTTTATTAAATATAACTAAAATTGCCATTGTCTTCATTATTTTAAGCAAGAATGCACACGGTTAACAATGATTTACTTGTTTTAATATTTAGGATAAAAGGGATATTAAATGAAGTTCTAATGATCAAAATTTAAGTAATCTCTGGTATCAAAATATTTTTCAAAGAAAAATATAATAAGACTAGAATCATGATATTTGTTTTACATAAGAACATACTTTTCTTCAGTGTTGCCTTTTGGGAAAATGTAATTGAGAAGATTTTCAAAAAAGGTGCTAAAATTTTATAACTGAGTCTAACCTGGCCTTCATATCAACACCCATTTCATTTCAGCACTTGACAGATTGAATGTTAGGGGCAGGTTAAATGTCCGTAGTAATTCTGTAGGAAACTCAAATACCCAGAGTGACCATGAATCATATAATATAATACCAAGAATAAAGATATTTTATAGTGGTTATGTTTCTGTATCTGGGTGAAACTAAAGGAGAAATTTTTCAGTAAGACATCTGTAACCTTATTTTGGCCCCCAAGTTTTAAAAATTTAATAAATTCCTGTTCAATGCTGCCATACACTTTAGAAAATAAAGAGGAAGATGAAGAAGAGCAAAGAATAACTCTCATTTCAATTTTTAGTACGTATTGAGGACTGGCTCTGCAATAATGGCAATTGAAAATACAGAGATAACTGTCACCACACATGATTTTGAGATAGATGGTTTTAATAAACCCAAGAATTGTACATCTATGAGTTCTGTTCCTACATTCATGTGAGTGCTATTCCTCAGGGTGATCATTTTGAACAGATATACAATATTTTCTGTAAGTGTCGTTGCTCAAAAATTTTGAAATATCTCTTTCAGTAGAAATATGCATGTTTCACATGACAAATTTACCTGTCAGAGGTGAGCTCTAATTTTTTCTTGTTTTTGGTAAGATACTTTTAGCATATATGTATGCATTCCAAAGTGACTAAAAACAGAGAACGAGTCCAAAATACCTGTGTTTAAATCCCAACTCTACCAATTTTGTCCTGTAAGACCTTGAACAAGTAACTTATCTATACATAAATTTATACCTCTCTAACCCTGCACATAATTTTTAGAGAAGTTGTATTACATTTACACACATATAATCATTTACATAGCAATATATGTGTATACCATCATTGTGTATATGTAACATGCTATATAAATGTTTGTCATTATTATTTTAATTAATTATAGGACATCCTTCTCTTAATATTTTTTGATGAGAAACTTTCTGTGAACTTATTTTACTTTTTGCTTTGTAAAAAATATCTTTAATCATAAGTATAGTTTTTAAAAAATTACAAATTTATTAGAAGTGAAGTTTATACAATAATTTCAATAAAATTCTTGATATAATCTCAGTATGGTGAATAGTAATTATTATCTGTTATATCTTTCAGATTATTTTAGAATCATTTGGAAATTACTTTAAATTTTTATATAATTTGAGAGGGCTGGAACAAGATGGTGAAAAGGAAGCCTATACCATTCATCCTCCCCACAAGAATACCAGATTTTTACAACTATCTGCACACAGAAAAGCGCCTTTAAAAGTACAAAAAGTCAGGTGACCAATCACAGTACCTTATTTTAACTTCATATTTCCAAAAGAGACATTGAGGAGAGCCAGAGAGACAGTATCGAATCACTACCACCACCCTCCGTGATCCCTGAAAGTGGCTGGGTGGCACAGGCAGAGATTGTTTGCACTTTGGGGAGGGACAATGCAATGACTGGCGTCTTTACATTGAACGTAGTGCTACCCTGTCATAGCAGAGAATAAAGCCCTGCTGGGTGCAATCAGCACCCATGCACAAAGGGAGCATTTGGACCAGCCCTAGCCAGGGGAGAATTGCCTATCCCCGTATCTAGAACTTAAGTTTCTCAGCAAGCCTCACCACTGTGGGCTGAAGTGCTCTTGGGTTCTATGTAAACTTGAAAAGCAGTCTATGACACAAAAACTACAACTTGGAGGCAACTCTTAGTGCTAGGCTGAGCTTAGAGTCAGAGAAATGGGGGGCATGTGACCTCAGAGATATCAGCTGGCATGGCTAAGTGAACGCTTACATCATCTCTCCCCCAGTCGGAGGTACTGCAACTCACAGCAACAACAGTGACGCCTTCCTTCTTCTTAAGGAGAAGAGAATAAAGGGTAAAGAGGACTTTGTCTTGCATCTTGGTACCAGTTCAGCCACAGTAGGATAGGTCACCAGGAAGAGTAATAATATTCCCATTCCTGGCCCTTCCACCTGGACAACATATCTAGGCACACCCTTAGCCAAAAATGAAACCACTGCCTTGAAGAGAAGGACCCAGTCCTGGCAGGATTCATCCTGCCAAAGAGCTCTTGGGCCCTGAATAACCAGCAGTGATACCCAGGGAGTATGCGGTGGGCCTTGAGCTCTGAGACGTGCTGACTTCAGGGATGACATAGCACATTCCCTGCTGTAGTAACTACAAGACTCTTTCTTGTTTGAGAAAAGCAGAGGGAAAAGAAAGGGGACATTTACTTGTACCTTAGGTACCAGCTAAGCTAAAATGAGGTAAAGCAACAAGAAGGCTGTTAGGGTCCCCAAGTCCATGCTAACGCTTTTGGACACCATTTTTTTTACATATCCGGGGACAGAAGGGAGGCATCTAAGCTGAAGTGTGAATCCCAGGCTTGGCGGCATTCACCATGAGCTGACAGAAGAGCTCAGGGTTTTAAATGAACACATGCAGTGGCCTGACAAAACCCTTGTGGATCAGTGGTGGTGGTGGCCACGGGAAGAGGTTCCTCTTCTTAAGGAAAGGGGAAGGAAGAGCAGGAACTCTGTATTGTAGTGTGATATGAGCTTAGATATAGTAGACTAGAAAATCAGGTAAACTGCTAAGATGTTTGACTCCAATCTCTGGCCCCCAGACAACATCTCTGGACATTTCTGGAGCCTGGGGAAACTTATCACATTAAAGAGCAGGGCCTTGGGCAAGACCCAGAGCTATGCTGGCTTCAGGTTCCGCCCAGTGCAGGTCTGAGTGTTGGTGGACACAAGGGTGCTTGCCTCATCACACTCCCAACTCCAGGTGGCTCAGCACAGGCAGGAGGCTCCATTTAGTTGGGAGAAAGGAAGGGAAAAGAACAAGAGTCTCTGCCTGGAAAGGCCAGGTCACCTACAAAGCAAAGCCCATCAGACTAACAGCAGACCTCTCAGCAGAAGCTCTATAAGCCAGAAGAGATTGGAGGTCAATATTCAACATTCTTAAAGAAAAGAATTTTCAACCCAGAATTTCACACCCTGCCAAACTAAGTTTCATAATTGAAAGACAAAATCCTTTCCAGACAAGCAAATGCTGATGGAATTCATTACCACTGGCACTGCCTTGCAAGAGCTCCTGAAGGAAGCAGTAAATATGGAAAGGAAAAACTGGTACCAACCACTGCAAAAACACACCAAAATACAAAGACGAATGACATTATGAAGAAACTGTATCAATTAGTGTGGAAAATAACCAGATAGCATTATGACAGGATCAAATTTACATATGACAATACTAACCTTAAATGTAAATGGACTGAAAGATACACACTAGTAAATTAATAAAGGGTCAAGACCCATTGGTGTGCTATATTCAGGAGAACCATCTCACATGTAAAGATACACATAGGCTCAAAATAAAGGGATGGAGAAAAATTTACCAAGCAAATGGAAAGAAAAAAAAATCAGGGGTTGCAATCCTAGTCTCTGACAAAACAGACTTTAAACCAGCAAAGATCAAGAAAAGACAAAGAAGGGCATAACATAACGGTAAAGGAAACAATTCAACAATCCTAAACTATCCTAAATATATGTGCACCCAATACAGGAGCACCCAGATTCATAAAACAAGGTCTACAAAGAGACTCAGACTCCCACACAATAAAATTGGGAAGTTTTAATATCCCATTGTCAATATTAGACAGATCAGAGACAGAAAATAAACAAGGATATTCAAGACTTGAACTCAGCTCTGCATCAAGTGGACCTTAGAGACATCTACAGAAATCTCTGCCACAAATCAACAGAGTATACATTCTTCTCAGTGCCACATGACACTTATTCTACAATCAACCACATACATGGACGTAAAACACTCATCAGTAAATGCAAAAGAACTGAAATTATAACAAACAGTTGCTCAGACCACAGTGAAATTAAATTAGAACTCAGGGTTAATAAACTCACTCAAAGCCACACGATTACATGGAAATTATACATACAAGCTGCTCCTGAATGACTCCTGGATAAATAATGAAATTCAGGCAGAAATCAAGAACTTCTTTGAAATCAATGAGAACAAAGATACAACGTCCCAGAATCTCTGGGACACAGCTAAAGCAGTGTTAAGAGGGAAATAAATAGCACTTCATAAAGCTAGAAAGATCTCAAATCAACACCTTAACATCACAATTAAAATAGCTAGACAGGCAAGAGAAAACAATTCCAAAAGCTAGCAGAAGGCAAGAAATAACTAACATCAGAGCAGAATTTAAAGAGGAGACACAAAAAACCCTCCAAAAAAAAATCAATGAATCCAGAAGCTTTAAAAAAAGAAAAAAGTTAACAAAATAGGTAAACCATTACCTAGACTAATAAAGAAGAAAAAGAGAAGAATAGACAAAATAAAAAATCATAAAGGAGATATCACCACTGACCTCATAGAAATACAAACTACCATGAGAGAATACTATAAATACTTCTATGCAAATAAACTAGAAAATCTAGAAGAAATTGATACATTCCTAGACACTTACACCCTCCAAGACTAAACCAGGAAAAAGTTGAATCCCTGAATAGACCAGTAACAAGGTCTGAAGTTGAGGCAGCAATTAATAGCCTACCAATACAGCCATGGCACATAAAAATAGTAAATAAAATATATTAAGGAGGTCTTTGCAGAATACCCAAATTATCCACTTCAAGCCTCGAACTTCTTAGATCCACTCCCATCATATATTAAGTCCACTTCATCCAAAACAGATTCTTCAAAGTCATGGCTGGTCAGAATTTCTGAGGAAAAGCTTAGAAAAAATCTGCCTTTGGAAAAGGAGCCCAACTGTGATTATCACCTGATGTGGTTTAAAATAATACAGTCCTTTTCAAAGAACCATGACATTTTATATGGACCAACAGGAACATATCAATGAGAATATAAACAGCATCACTGCCCTGCATCTTTGAGGTCTTTCATGGGTTACAATCATTCCTGCTATTTCCAAAAGAGAACAGTGTTGTTTCGGGTTCAATATTCTACCTATGAGACCTGGCAGGGAGGGGAAGCTCCAGCAGCTTTCACTGATCCTTTCTATCCTAATAACCCTCACTCCCTTGCTTAGAGAGCCAGTTTGGTGATTCTGCCAATGCCAGTGTCAAGTAGGTCCATTTTAATTATACATCTAGGGTATAGAGAACCACACAGAATGGGTCCATGGTCTTACTGAACACTGGGTAATTCATACTTGGTACACACCTCCATTTCTTATCTATTGTAATTGCACATTGGTATTGCGAGTACCCCAAAAGTTTAGATGTATCGTTTTCTCCAATGCACAATCTCCTTAGTAATTGTCCTCAGATCACTTTTGACGGTGCCAGAGGAAGAGAAATGGCAGATTCCTATGGTAGTAGAGCAAACCTCTACTTCAATCAAGAGGCTTGAGTTCTCTAAACTGACTTAATTCTAGAATTAGGGGAGAGGACGTGATTCTCCATTGTGGTAACTCAGATATGGATTTGACCTTTAACCTGAAGTTTATCTTATTATATATATAAAATAATGTTGTACTGGGTTGCACATTTAGTTTGTTTTAGGGACTTGTGATTGACTCCTGATTGAGTTCTCTGTGGGTAAATACTTCAACCCCAATGCACATTACACTGAATGTGCCCACCTAGCCTCTGGCAGTTAAATGTTTCATTATCTTTATGGAAAGCCCAACTCAAGGATGGCATCTCCCAGCATTATACCTGGCTTATAGAAGGCATCCCCATATTTCAAAAATATGGACATCCCCTTACTAATGAAATTTGTCAGTAAATTAATGAAGGGAGTGCTATTTGGGCCCCTTCAGGAAAAAACAAAATGTGAGAAGAACTAGTTGCATGTGATAAAAGCATTGCAATTTGTCTATTTCTCTAAACCTTTGGATTCTTTCCTCTATATTACATGCAGGATATTCTTCTGTCTCAACATCATTGAATTTCCACTATGTCTAAGTTTCACCTAACCCATCAGGTAAAATGTTAGAGTCCCTTCCTCCTGCCAAACTAGCACATGAACCTGTGTTAGATGTACATATGTCAATATATGTGGTCCTATCCATTTATATGAATTTTGCAATTCATTTTGGAGTACAAGCTACTTCCTTCCAAGTCACTTTGTACACATCCTTCTGGGGTATGCTGAAAATTGACACTAATCATAAGATTCTTGGGGTAAATCTTGAGAAGAAGAAACATCTCCTCTTAGAATTTCACCAAGAGAAATTATTAAAGAATCATTAATAGAAAAAGGCTGATGCCTTCAAGCACAGGAAGAAGGGCTGCTTCCACTAGCAAAGAAAATTTAGAATGATCTGGTTTAATCATCAACATCATCCAAGTTTTCCCAATTATCTCTATTCCAAGCCTCAGGGCCCTACTCCTTCTCAATCAATGCCCTAACTTCACCTGGGATACTTAATAAGGCTGCAGACCCACTCTCTACAATCCATACAATTAACTTTAGTTTCTGGTTTTTCAGAGGTACTATCATAGCACATTAATAAATAAGAGATAGATTTAGATTTGCTAGAGGAATTATCTGTTTCTACAAGTGGGACCTGTCTGAGAGTCCCATCACCTGAAAGGTTAAGAACCTGAGGTATTTTCTTTCTAAAAGTGCTTCCTTGCACTGAGGAGCAGCCGTCTCATGCCACATTGTTTTTAGTAATTATTGCAGCCATAATAGTTAAACACAGCAGGCATCAAGTGCTCCAAACACCTGCCTCACTAAGCACTTCACCACCATCAACTGTACGTGGTAAGTTTGTCCTTAATATGTGCTGCATATTGTGAGGTATTTGGATACCATTTCATTTCAGTAAGGATCTGAGCACTATACTCAAGGTTAGTTGAAGAGAAAACTGAACCAATCATCAAACAGGATACAAATGTTTGAAAAGACAAACGCATACTGAGGAATATTTGCAATGCATTTAACTATAAATGGTTAATATTCAGAATAGAAAAAGGAATTTCAACAATTTATAAAAGAAAAACATACAAGAGAAAATACACAAGGGCATTTTTTTTTTTAAAGAAGACTTTTATTTCCTTGTTTTGCAAATAAAGCTAGCTAAGTTGGTTGCTTTCTGGTGATTAGTCAAAGAGACCAAATCCCATATCCTCGTCCGACTCCTCCGACTCTTCCTTGGCTTCAACCTTAGCTGGGGCTGCGGCAGCAGCAGGAGCAGCCGTGGTGGCAGCAGCCACAGGGGCAGCAGCTGCAAAGGCAGATGGATCAGCCAAGAAGGCCTTGACCTTTTCGGCAAGTGGGAAGGTGTAATCAGTCTCCACAGACAAGGCCAGGACTCGTTTGTACCCATTGATGATAGAATGGGGTACTGATGCAACAGTTGAGTAGCCAATCTGCAGACAGACACTGGCAACATTGCGGACGCCCTCCAGGAAGCGAGAGTGCAGAGTTTCCTCTGTGATGTCAAGCACTTCAGGGTTGTAGATGCTGCCATTGTCGAACACCTGCTGGATGACCAGCCCAAAGGAGAAGGGAGAGATGTTGAGCATGTTCAGCAGCGTGGCTTCGCTGGCTCCCACTTTGTCTCCAGTCTTGATCAGCTGCACATCACTCAGGATTTCAATGGTGCCCCTGGAGATTTTGGTGGTGATACCTAAATCCTGGAAAAAGGAGGTCTTCTCGGGCCCCAGACCGGTGTTCTGGGCTGGCACAGTGACTTCACATGGGGCAATGGCACCAGCACGGGCAGCAGCTGGGACCTTATTGGCCAGCAGCATGTCCCTGATCTCAGTGAGGTCCTCCTTGGTGAACACAAAGCCCACATTCCCCCGGATTGAGGCAGCAGTTTCTCCAGAGCTGGGCTGTTTTCCAGGTGCCCTCGGATGGCCTTGCGCATCATGGTGTTCTTGCCCATCA